CAGTGTTTGTCATTTGAGTGGATACAGCCACTGAGAGGAAGTTACAGAGAGGCTTCAGAGTGGTGCCAAAGCGTCTACTCGCAGTGGTCTAACAGAGGAAGTGGACTTAGTAATATTACTCATGCTGTGATGTAAAGATCAAGTCAAAGAGAGACATGGCAGAATTAGAAAGCTGATTGCTGACGTTTTCACTCTGGTCTCCTCCCACTCAGTTTAAGAGTTGTACAAACAGTAGCTGAATGAAGTATTCTAACTACCACAGATCAGAAATAGCGTATCGCAATTATTCTAATGTAGCAAAGTAATGCTACATGAGTTTCCTTTGAACCTTGCAATAAACACACCTAAATATGAAATGGTTTTTATTGCTGATGAATTTACACAATATACAGAAAGAAATGCTTGAGTTGAGATATTGTGTACATGAAGAAAAAAATCCACTCTGTTATGTATTTTCTTCTGGCTTTGACTTCTTCTTTTGCTGTGTCAGCACTGATGTAGCAGCATTGTCTGTGTGTGGCTTCACCTATCGTTTGGGAGAATACTGCAGTGGCTCCCTGCTCCTTAACAGTAAGCATACATAGAAGTGACCGTGTGACTGTATTGCAGCGGTGCTTTAAGTGACCAATGAGGAGGGTACACTGGCACCTTTACACTCTCACTTTGAGTGCATAATCCTAGCGACAGTGGCCGGTGTAGGATAAACAACTCTGCCACCTATTCATCTGTAGGGAGTGTAACTCTTTCATCTCAGCTGTCAAAAATATATAGAATAGAATAATCCTTTAATTGTCCCACAAGGGGAAATTTGGTTGTAACCAATTTGGTTGTATCCACGTCTGTGTACTCTGAAGGAGGTTGTAAAACTTTGTGAGAGGTCAGTGAGCCAGTGAAGCTCACTTCTGTACAATGACTGAGACACTGAGGTGAGTTGCTGAGGATATTCTGAAGTTTTCTGTTGGTAACTGCTACTGTTAGCTTCTGTTAGCTGCTATTAGCCTCTGTTAGCTTCTGTCAGTCATTGGTAGTGAAACTTTCTTTGAAGCGAATCTAACATTGTTGTACTCTCAAATGACACGAGAATGTAATGAAACTGTTTATCAGAGGGAAACTGTGATTTATGGGCCATTCAAGCCTAACATTAGCTGGCATAATGTTAGCTTACAACCAGCTGATGTTGTTATTAATGTCACTACCCGGTCCGTACCGGAAACCCGATCGGTACCCCGCATGCGCGAAAGGTGTCTACTTCCGGTCGAAGCGTTTTACGATAGTTACGGGTCAGAGTATCGGTTAATATGTTAAGAATAACAAGAATCTCTTAAAATGTTTCCAATAATGAAACATTTCAATATAATGTAGACAAAAACGAAAAATAAAAAGATAGTTACGGATCAGGACTCCCGATCCTTACTGCGCATGTGCAAAGTCGGACCGTACAAATTGTGACAAAAAGGGATAAATAAGCATGTTTATGTATTTTTGAGGGTTACATCAGGAGATGGCACACAAAGACCTACGACTTCTCTACTTCTCCACCTTTGGCATGCTACATATGTGTCTCTAGCTACTTATATAAAACATAATTAGGCAGAACTGCAACTCCAATCTCAGTCACTGTATTCAAGATTGCAGGAAAACATGGTGACTTAGAACAAATTGATACCTCCTAATATGTATTTTTAATGTATTAACTCTAAGTTTATGTAAGCTTATGTACTTACACAGATACTTGTATCTTTATTACCATACATTTATGTATAATGCTACAATAACTTTTTGATACTGTATTGTTCCTGGTTCTCAACTATGTTTCTCTATCAAAAAGCTACATTCTTTTCCCCCCAATGAATAAACTAAAAAAAGACTGAGTGTGCCTTTAACGTACAACAATATTAGCTAAGAACAAAAAAGAAACAGCTTAAAAAAAATCAAAGAAAAGCAGCCAATATGGTGAATTTGGTGATCCCATGCTCCCTTTCTGCTTATTTTCTGTTCTCTTTTTACTTTCTACTTTTTGAAAAAAAATGCAAAAATTCATAGAAAAAAAACATACTCACTATATGTTAACTTGATTTAGACTGGAAATAATATGGCCACTCCACTGGCCACTCAGTGAGAGCAGATGTACTTGCAGAATAGTTTCATTATGCATTTAAATAATAAATTATTAATTTAAAATATGTTTCAACATGATTAATATAAATATATTCAATGTTCTACCTGTGTTTATGTGGGTTCTTTCCAGGTACTCCTGTTTCCTCCCACAAAGACATGCAGTTAGTTGGGTTAGGTTAATTGGTGATTCTAAATTGGCCATAGGAGTGAGAATGGGAAAGTGTAAATGTAAGTGTGATTGGTTGTCTGTCTCTCTGTGTTAGCCCTGTATCAGATTGGTGACTTTATGCAGGGTGTACCCCGCCTCTTGCCCAATGGTAGCTGGGATAGGCTCCAGCCCCCCACCGTCTCCCCTGATAAGGATAAGCGGAAAAGAGTGGATGGATGGATATTCTAAATCTGTTATTTACTTTTATACCAAGAATTTTGTGTTACTGTATTGTTCCTGGTCCTCAGCTATGTCCCTCCATCCAAAAGCTGCTTTACCAGGGTCTTTAGCTGCACACTAACATCGTTTGCATTACTGAAAACATTACTTTTCAAAGCACTTTAAAAAGAAAGCAGTCAGTATGCATTTCTAGATGGCAGCATAATCAAATTTGAAATTTGAAACTTGCTTGAAACATGTAATTCATCATAATGAACATCAAGTATGCTTTTTTATGGCCAAATCTCTGATACGGCCATGTGGTAATGGATTGTAGCATTTTCAAATCAATCATGTCTGAGTTTCCGCACAGTGATAACCCTACCTGGCTCAAGTGAGTTTCAAGTAGTTGCAAATCGATTTCCCTACTCTACTGAAATAAACTGTAGAGAGTGGCTGAATAAAAGGGAACTAGTACGACATCCTTCACATCTTAAGTGCACAAAGATGAAGTAGTCATATTAAGTATACGCAATCTGTAGTAAACAAAACTGTTTGTGTTGTTCTTTAAATTAGAACAACTGGAGTTGTCAATTAAGCATAATGTTAGTTTAGTTAGGCCATTAAATTAATATCAGCTTCCATCCGAGAAGATCTGCTGAACCCTTGACAACAGATACACATATCGATTTGCCTGGCACCAGAATTACCCAATTTCCAGTGTTCTTGGCCCTGGGTGGTTAGCGTACCATATGCCAGATTATGAATTGGTCCATCTCATGCCTGTGTGCAACACACAAACAGCTGTCGAGACTGATATGTCCTTAGCGTGGAAGCATTTCACTGTGTGTGAAGACAGTACCCCAAGCTAAACGGTGGAGGGATGACGATGAAAACATAAGTAGCTAACAAAAAGTTAAAATGGCTAAAGCTATCCGGAGCTCAAAGCTAGCCACAAGGCAGCAGCCTTGGTATGAGCAAAGGATTGAAACAGCTATGAGGAAAATATTGAAAAAAAAGTATCAAAATCTTGTTATCTGTAACAGGACTGAAGTTGTAAGCATACTAAAAAAATGATGTAAGTACTTGACATTTGTTTATATATAAAATCTGTTGCACCTGCTTTTTGTTTGATTAGGTAAAGTATGTCAGGTAGCTCTTGTACCCCTTTCCAGTGACAGAGCAATTAATTTTTAGCTGATTTAATGTGAGAAGATCCTGTAATTTACCACAGTTTGGAAAAAAATGGAGCATTTAATAATTTCTTTTATTATGAAAGTCTTCTGAATTTGCTGTCAGTTAAACTTCTTAAAAAATCTGAATCAGCAAACCATGCTTAGAAAATAATCGTAAATGGGAAACAGCCAAGAAAACTGCAGTCGGTACATCTCTGCCTTTTATACATCCAACTGTTAAATCTTAAAGGGACCGTTTATGTGGCTTTAGTCTGCCTACATCTGCTGCTCATCTGCAAGCCGCTTCGCAACCCGCCCCAGCTTCTCTTTTTTATGTCATGACTCTGGATTTCACATATTTCACATATTTATTGTGGGACCTTGTGGGAAGGTCCCACAATAAAGCCAAAAAGCCAAATATAAATTACTGCAGATGGCTAAAGTGGTCCTGGCTGAACTGTGAACATTGAAACAAAGAAGATTTCAGTTAAAAAGCCTTTCTTTTATTTAGTTTTGTGAATCAGCGATCTGGTTTACACAGGTTCCATCTGCCCTGAACTGAACTATGTGGATGAAATTAGTTATTCCTACTTGGCGCCAGGAAGAGTTATTAGCATGACAGCCTCTATTTGATATTTGTCAAGCTAAACACACACATACTGTATATATACAACATACAGGAAATTGTTTCAAACACTGGCTCAGACTTGAGAAATTAACAACTTTGCACGGCAGCAACAAACACTGCTGTCTGCATTCCTCGAGTGGAAAGCAGCTCCAAAATGTGACAAATCTATCCTCTGCCAGCTTCCTCCTTCAACACACCCACACCCTGAGCCAGCACAGCCACCCCCCCAAGCACCACCAGCGCTACCACCAACATCCACACCCCTCCCTTGGGCCCCCTTCAGCCGGCTGCATGTCTCTGGAGGTCGCCTCTGACGTCAGCAGCTCAACTGGGTACTGTGCCAACCCTGTGGGCCCTTGATGGATGCAGTCGGTCTGAGAAACAGTTCGCTGTGAGTAGAGTGCACGGCACAAACTCAGCCCAGCCGGCTCAAACACATCTAATGACCCGTAAAACCCGGACAGGTCCATTCCTTCTCCTTTTCTTTTGTGTATCACAAACATGGATGATTAAAGGAGACACATGTGATGATGAGTGATATGCACTGCTAATGGCCAGGATAATAAACAGAGCCTGCAAATGCACTGTTGTTCCCCAGACTTACAAAAACTGCAATTCTTAAATCCAAGCATTTTGTCTTAGTGATCCAGAGAGATGCAGCTGACTCTGTGCATTTTTTTTGTCTGTATATGTGTGTGGTAGGGGGGTATACCTGCAGGCCTGCTGCTGGTCTTCCTCTTCAGCCATCTGTCCAACGTCTCTGCACTCACACTCTCCAACACAAAGTCATCCAGAATCTGCGGGTGCAGCGAGAGGTAGGCCTTCACTTTCTCATCTGTCAAGCCTGAAACACAAAAACAAAACACTTTAAAAAACTTTATTTAAGACTAATGAAACTGTGAGAAAACCCCCCCAACAAAAACACCAAAACAATACTGATGTGAGATAATGAACAGAATCATTGATGCTAGAAAGGAGAAGTGTAGCACGTGAGAGGAATGAAATAACATCTCACTTGAACCCACAATGATCCCGAAGGTCACCCAAACAAATGCAAAGGATGAAAACAGCTGAAGGTCACTTCATTCTCTTCACGGTGAGGTGAGAGCGGTGGCAGCCGAGCCAAGGCTCGAGTTAAAGCTCTTTGATAGCCGGGCTAGCTCACTTATGTTTACTGTGAATCTGTATCTCCAGGGATAGGAGCCCCCAACAGAGGCAACAGGATAAAGGAGGACTCGATTGTGCTTAATAGGCAATTAGGATCTTGAGAGCTTGCTAAGTGCTGCTGTTTACTGTCTTTGTTGTCAGGGAAAAAAGCCATTTGCCAGACCATCATTGAGGGAAAGTTGTTTTTAATACCCCCACTGGCGTCTGTGAAGCAGTCATGATGCACTAGGACGCCATCATGTTTAGGTCACTCAAACAAATGGAGTGTATGTCTAAAACAAAGACTTCTAACTGTATACATTTAGACGTGAAGTGTCATCTCATAATGAGAAGAAATGCATTCTTACAAAAGACAAACAGAGGTGAATTTACATTTTATGGCATGGTAAACTATAACTATACGTTTTCAGATAATAGTAGAGAGAAGAGTGTTGACAGCCCTGAAAGTTTTTATAACGCTTTCTCACGAAATGTCTGGTTATCGGGAGCATCTGTGTAGACTCCCTCTGTAGATGCACAAACACACACACACGTGGCATGAAAACATTAGTAAGTGGGGTGTCAGTCAGAAAGCTGCATGAATATCAGTGTTGTGAATCGCTACAGATCCCTGTAGACAACACAACAGTAAGCCGGGTGTGTGTGGCTGTGGGTTGGAGGGGGTGGGGGGTGAGTGTTGTGCCAGATGACAAAGTAAAACCAGATGCAGAGATAGAAAGACTAAATTCTGCTTCAGCTGCAGGTAACCTGTTATGAGCCCATAAAAGGTTGTGGTTAAAGAATATCTTTCACTTTTAATTTAATTTTAGGATCATAGTGCTCCTGATTCAGACTCTGAGCTATCCACGACCTTTGATCTATCCCTGCAGAACAAATCATTTGATGTTCGGTTACGATCATCTGCCCAGAGTGTGTGTGTGTATAGATAGAGCAGGCTTTTGGTTACAGGCAAATAAGGCAAACAGAGGTGGGGGTAAGTTTGGGGGGTGGAGGACGCTACAGTCTGATGCTGTCCAGACACGAGACACAGCTCCTCAGGAGCGGAACGCCTCACGAGACTCCTGGCCAGCTCTGACGCACATCGGCAGAATACAGCTTAATAAATCAGGAAAAGTTAAAGAAGGGTTGGGGTGGGACGGAGAGAGCTGCGGAGGACAGAAAGACACACGGAGAGGAGCTAAATGGGAGCGCTGCAAATAACCCCTACAACTTTGTCCTATTTGAAACACAAAGAAGGCACTGTGATTGGTGACATTACAAAAGATGAAAAACAAGGATGCTGTATAAATTTATGAATACAAGTTTTGTGTGAAAGGAGTCTGAAAATTGTTTAGCAATCATATGTGTGCACATGAACAAAATAGTCGAATGTTCTATTTCCATGGGGCAAGAACAGCAGTGATAAGAGCTTTGCAATGGCTAATAAAATGGTGTTAATTAAAATTTCTGTGGTGAAAAGCAGGCATTTGTAAGACCTAAATGACAACGACGGGTCAAAACTGCGGCGTTCGCAAGCCCAATGCATGTGCCACATTCTGTACTTAAAGGAATCAACTAATAGTGCTGTAGCAACTTCACTGGTGACAGATACACACATTATATTCATTCATGTGTGTGTTTAGAAGAAACATTGTTTATGGATAAAGTAAAAATGTCAATATCATCAATCTATTCTTTTATAAGAATCCAGAGAAATGACTGACTTGACCTAATGTGACTATATTTTACCTTGATTGTGATTAATAATTCCCTTTTTGAACATTCCCGCTACGTCACGTTGACCTTATAGGCTTTCCTTCTGAAATCTTTCGAGCCACAGCGCACATTAATGTGACTGCAGTGAGTCTCAGAGCTGTGGGATATGCGTCAGTGTCCTGGTCCTGAGACTATAGAGGCTAATCAAAGGTGCAGCCCAATCTGTCCCACATGCTGCGGTCCAGAATGGCTAACCCCACTGGGAACTATATGTGCTCACTCAATCAGGACAGTGAGAGACTGCTGTTGCAGATGTAACAGCTTGGTGACTGGTTTAACCAGGTTTTTA